AGCGTTTCTTTCTCCTCATGTTGTTGCTACTGGGCTTATTAGCTTATCAGAAACACAGAGTGTTTGGTCTAGCCCAGCATTCAAATTATTTTGTTGAAAGGAAAGGCATTTAGGTCTGTATAAGTTATCTTACTGCTGTCATGCGGAGCTCCGCTCAAGTGCGTCTGCTCTCCTCGGTAGCCCAACCGGAAGCCTCCAAACAATTCAGTATCTGTATGCTTGTCCACAATGCCCTGCCTCATGCACAGAGGAATAATTGTTTAAAGCTATAGACCAGGGGTCCTCAAACTTTTTAAACAGAAGGCTCGTTCACAGCCCCTTAAACTGTTGGAGGGCTGGATTATAATTTGAAAAAAAAAACATGAATGAATCGCAATGCACACTGCACATATCTTATTTGTAGTGCAAAAAACACTTAAAAACAAACAATAATTAAAATGAAGAACAATTTTAACAAATATAAATGTATTAGTATTTCAATGGGAAGTGTGGGCCTGCTTTTGCCTGATGAGATAGGATTGTTGTTGTTATTGTGTGCTTTCAAGTCGTTTCAGACTTAGGTTGACCCTGAACGAGGGCCAGGTAAATCACCTTGGAGGGCTGTATCCGGCCCACGGGCCTTAGTTTGAGGACCCCTGCTATAGACAATGTGCTTGCTGTTGCCTGTTTTTGGTCCAAAATTATTTAGGTCCCATTATTTTATCATAGAATCATACAGTTTGAAGAGACCTCATGGGCCATCCAGTCCAACCCCCTGCCAAGAAGCAAGAAAATTGCATTCAAAGCACCCCCGATAGATGGCCAACCAGCCACTGTTATAAACCTCTGAAGAAGGAGCCTCCATCAAACTCTGGGATAGAGAGTTCCACTGCCAAACAGCTCTCACAATCAGAAAATTCAGATGGAATCTCACTTTGGACTACAAGAAGCGTTGTTTGACTATCAAGCAAAAAGTGGGTGCTAGAAACAATATCATACGAAAGCTGACTGGCACAACCTGGGGATCACAACCAGATACAGTGAGGACATCTGCTACTCTGCTGCTAAGTACGCATGCCCAGTGTGGAACACATCTCACCACACTAAAACAGTGGATGTGGCTCTTATTAAGACATGCCGCATTATCACGGGGTGTCTGCGCCCTACACCACTGGAGAAATTACACTGCTTAGCCAGTATTGCACCACCTGACATCCGCCGGGAAGTAGCAGCCAATAGTGAAAGGACCAAGGCAGAGACATCTCCAGCTCATCCCCTGTTTGGGTATCAGCCAGCACGTCAACGACTTAAATCAAGAAATAGTTTTCTTAGATCTACAGAGACACTCGGGAACACCTCAGCAAGCGAGAGTTCAAAAGTGGCAGGCTCAAACCCAGCACCTCAATCCGTGGGTGATACCAGATGAGAGACTCCCCCCTGGGCACACAGAAGACTGGGCGACTTGGAAGGCGCTGAACAGACTGCGCTCTGGCACCACGAGATGCAGAGCCAATCTTAAGAAATGGGGCTACAGGGTGGAATCCTCGACATGCGAGTGTGGAGAAGAGCAAACCACTGACCACCTGCTGCAATGCAACCTGAGTCCTGCCACATGCACTATGGAGGACCTTCTTGCGGCAACACCAGAGGCACTCCAAGTGGCCAGATACTGGTCAAAGGACATTTAATCAGCTACCAAGTTTGCAAAATTTGGGGGTTTTTTAATCTGTTTGTTTGTTTTGTTCTGTTAGAAATGTAATACAATGTTCTGGTTGCGGATGACACGATAAATACATAAATAAAATCATACTATTGGCTGCTAGGAATTTCCCTCCTCCCTGTGGCTTCCTCTCACATATTTATACATGGCTCTCATGCCTCCTCTCAGCCTTCTCTTCTTCAGGCTAAACATGCCCAGCTCCTTAAGCCGCTCCTCATAGGGCTTGTTCTCCAGACCCTTGATCATTTGAGTCGCCCTCCTCTGGACACATTCCAGCTTGTCAACATCTCTCTTCAATTGTGGTGCCCAGAATTGGACACAATATTCCAGGTGTGGTCTAACCAAGGCAGAACAGAAGGGTAGCATGACTTCCCTGGCTCTAGACACTAGACTCCTATTGATCCAGGCCAAAATCCCATTGGCTTTTTTTGCCGCTACATCACATTATTGACTCATGTTTAACTTGTTGTCCATGAGGACTCCAAGATCTTTTTCACACATACTGTTTTATACTAATTTATGCAATGCTTTTGTCACAAAATAAATAGATTGATTGTGCAGTCCTAAATTCCACCTATACTTTACTGATGTGCTAAAACCTGGTGATGTTCCCTATTCTCAACTGAAGCACAGCATCTTCTTTGTACGCTGTATATGACTCACCCACCTGGGAAACAGTCATCTCCATGTTACTTTGTCCACTGCAGAGCCAGACGTCTCCAAAATAGACATCGTTCAGCGTCACATTTGATACCTCCTGTTTGTAGGACTGGTTGGCCTCTATCTTGTAAGGGCCGCCACTGGCCATGGGACTCAGGATAACTTTCCACTTGAAATCAGCTGAGAAACATTGAAAAAAAACTGTAAGATCTCAAGTTTTGCTATCAACTTGAAAGCAAGTTAAAGTGATAAGTCAGATCAAGGTCAAGCCAAGTTTTCTTTACTAAAGAATACTGGCCGTTATAAATATCCTGAAATGAACATATTTTGTAAACAGTTCAGATTGTCAGGAAATGCCATGAAGATGCATAACTCTACCAGGCGGTCATGGCTCCGTGACCAAGAAAGTATATTCTTTCATGCATCCACCTGATCTCACATATGGTCAAGGTTGGAGCATAGCCAGCTAGGATAATGCTATTAATAATAATAATAATAATAATAATAATAATAATAATAATATCTATACAAATAAAAATGTAATGTTGGCTTGTGGGATCAACATAACTCAAAAACCACCAGGTGAATTGACACCAAATTTGGACACAATACACCTATCAGGCCAATGAGTGACCATCACTCATAAAACACTGGAAAATACAGCAGAAGAGACTTAAAAAGCCAAAAAACTCATGCGCAACACATGCGCAAAAACACGCATATATATCCATATACACAAATATATACACACACAAAACATACAGAGAAAGGGGGAAGGAAGGAAGGAAGGAAGGAAGGAAGGAAGGAAGGAAGGAAGGGAGGGAGGAAGGAAGGAAGGAAAGAGAGTAGGAGGGAGAGAAAGGTAAAGGATGGAAGGAAAGAAGGAAATAAAAAACTGACAGAGGGAAGGAAGGCGAGAAGAAATAAAAGAGAAAGAGGGAGGGAAGGAAGGAAGGAAAGAGACAAGGAAGGATGGAACCAAAGATCAAAGGAAGCGAGAAAAGAAACATGTAGAGAAGGAAAAAGAAGAAGGGGGGAAAAAGAGGGAAGGAAGGAGAGAAAGAGGAGCAATGCATGGCAGGTACAGCTAGTTATTAATAATAACACTGTTCAACGGAGAAAAAGTTTCGGGCCTGAAAATAGTTGTTCTTTTGTGATTTTGGGGTGCTGAAAACGAAAATGACATTTAAAAATGTATATTGGCTCTAGTTTTTATGATATAAGCAATCACGTGATCACGTATGGTTGAAAAAATGCATGTTGCGACTTACACTATGGAAGATTCTAGAAAGTTGCGGGCCTGAAAATAGCTGTTCTTTTATGATTTTGGGGTGCTGAAAACAAAAATGACATTTAAAAATGTATATTGGCTCTAGTTTTTATGATATAAGCAATCACGTGATCACGTATGGTTGAAAAAATGCATGTTGCGACTTACACTATGGAAGATTCTAGAATATTCTAGAAAGTTTGATGACGCAGTATTAGTGCCGTGTGCAAAAGCCAGAAAGCCCTATATAAGGCCAGACTTTTGAACGGTGAGGGTCAGTCAGTTGAAGACTGAGACAGTATCGTTAAACATCGTTTTACATTGTTCTTTTTACTGTAGTTATGCCTCGCACGTGTGTAAATAAAGCACTATGGAAAAAAGATATCAAGGCCAATGGACTCCGTCAATGCTGTCAGACTCCTGCTGGAGCATTGTAAGAGACAATCCTTTCCTTGAATACAAAAGAAAAGTCAAAGAGAAGCAAACAGGATATAAACTAAAGTCACGATTAAAGCGACATTTAAACTTTCAGACTTTTCAACTGCATCAGGCCTACTAATATAGTTTCTTGCTGCACAAACATAAACAATAGACTAATTAAATAAATATTTCTCATGTATAAACTATTGGCAATATAATTTGACTAAAATTTAGTAAATATTCACGGTTTATATACATGCAGTAAGGTTAGGCGCATTATCATAATATTAACGAATTACCTATTGTGGAGAAAATTGAAATAGCTGTTGCATAAAAACCAGAGCCAATTAACACATTGAATTATTATATTTGAATTCAGCATGTTAAATTTATTAAGAAACGGCACATTTCGTTTCCGAAACTGAGAAAAACTGAAAATTTGTAGAACAGTGTAATTTTTATTTCTCTCCAAGAGCTGTAAGCAGGTAACTTCTCAGATAGCCTGGCCCTTTAAGACCTCTGACATCTTCAAATAGGGCTGGGCAGGAACCTGCTTGGAATTCTAGGGAACACTCACCAGCCAGTTTCCACAATAATGGAGGGACTAAAAGCTACCCCACTTAGAATGGGATAAAGATCCTTTCCCCATTAGAATGTAAACAATTCCAGCATGTTACCTGGAGTTCACACAAAGTTGAATGCATCCAGAAGCCATATTTTAATATGTGTATTTTCTAGCAATATGTTTTAATGTATGTATTTGATTGATATGTTTTATATTGATGTATGTATGTATGCATTTACTATATTTGTATACCACTCTTCTCAGCCCTCAGGCGACTCAGGGAGGTTTACAGAGGCAACAATTCAATGCCCAACAACGCCGTAAAACATTTAAAAACATTAATACATAATATAAAAACCGTAACAATTAAAAGCTTTATCCAATCTCATCGTCCAGCCATTCCATATTCCTATTTGATTTAAACATATCAGTCAAATGCATACATTAAAACACACTGCTATAAAAATATTGTTGTATTTTGACTCTAGGAGTCCCCAGTGGCACAATGGGTTAAACCCTTGTGCCAGCAGCACTGCTGACCGAAAGGTTGGCAGTCTGAATCCAGGGAATGGGGTGAGTTCCCACCTGTCAGCTCCAGCTTCTCATGTGGGGACAAGGAAGGCTCCAGTCCTTCCTTGAGGGACGGTCCCAGAAGGTGTTACTGGGTGACACCTGTTCTGCCCCACAGCCATTGTCGTGTGGAGTCCCACAGGGTTCAATTCTGTCCCCAATGTTGTTTAACATCTACATGAAGCCGCTGGGAGAGATCATTCGGAGTTTCGGACTGAGGTGTTATCTCTACGCAGATGATATCCAGATCTGTCACTCCTTCTCACCTGTCACCAAGGAGGCTGTCCAGACCTTGAACCGGTGTCTACCTGCTGTGTCGGACTAGATGAGAGCTAACGAATTGAAACTGAATCCAGACAAGACAGAGGTCCTACTGGTCAGTCGTAAGGCCGAACAGGGCATAGGGTTACAGCCTGTGCTGGACAGGGTTACACTCCCCCTGAAGACGCAGGTTCGCAGCTTGGGAGTGATCCTGGACTCATCGCTGAGCCTGGAACCCTAGGTCTCGGCGGTGGCCAGGAGAGCTTTTGCACAATTAAAACTTATGCACCAGTTGCACCTGTGCCTTGGGAAGTCTGATCTGGTCACAGTGGTCCGCGCTCTTGTTACATCCTGAATAGACTACTGCAATGCACTCTACGCGAGGTTGCCCTTGAAGACTGTTCTGAAACTTCAATTGGTCCAGCGAGCGGCAGCCAGACTGCTCACTGGAGCGTCATACAGGGAGCACACCACCCCCTTACTGTGTCAGCTCCACTGGCTGCCGGTTCAGTTCCGAGCACAATTCAAGGTGCTGGTTTTGACCTACAAAACCCTGTACGGTTCCGGTCCAGTGTATCTGTCCGAACGTATCTCCCTCTACGTCCCACCCCAGAGTCTGTGATCATCTGGGGAGGCCCTGCTCTCGACCCCACCGCTATCACAAGTGAGGCTGGTGGGGACGAGGAGCAGGGCCTTCTCAGTGGTGGCCCCTCACCTGTGGAACTCACTCCCGGGGAAATTAGAGCATCAACATCCCTCCTCTCCTTCAGGAGGAAGGTAAAGACGTGGTTGTGGGACCAGGCCTTTGGGCAATCTGACAACTAGATAAGGACAATCAGACGATTAGGACTGACAGGACTGACAATGTGGAATTGGAATTTGGACTATGAGATAGCGAACGCTGACCGTCTATGAGGAGTAATTGGGATTGTATTGTTTTATTGGTTTTAGGGTTGTAATGCAGGAATTGTTGTTTAACTGTTCAACTGTTTAACTGTTTAATTGATGTTATTTTGTTTTACTACTGTTATGTGATGCTGGCATCGAATTGTGCCTTTGTAAGCCGCCCTGAGTCCCCTTCGGGGTGAGAAGGGCGGGGTAGAAGAAACCGAAATAAATAAATAAATAAATAAATAAATGAGAAAAGCCTCCCACAGGATGGTAAAACATCTAGGTGTCCCCTGGGCAACATCCTTGCAGATGGCCAATTCTCTCACACCAGAAGCAACTTGCAGTTTCTCAAGCCATTCCTGACATGAAAAAAAATTGACTCTGCCTCAAGTTGTGAGGAGAGGCAGGTAACAAAATAATAACTATTACACTATGTAACAAAAATTGAAAAATATCAGTTCCTGGTCTGAAAGTGTTATTTCAAACCAGGAACAGTAACTTTCTGTTTCTGTGGCTGCCTCAAACTTATGTTGAATTGGTTGAGATCCGATGAGATAGTCATAAAAAACTAGAGCAAACCATTATGCACTATATCTGAGAAAAACAAAGTTTTTTTGCAGTTTAATAAACCTTTCCCATGTTTTTATGATAGAACCAATTAGGAAATAACATTCATAATCCAGGAACAAAAATCATGTTACATAGTAGTAGTAATATTTGTTACTTATTACTATTATGCTTCCTTTTTTTCTTAGTTCTTTGCACTCTGATGGTTGATAATTAAGCAATTGGTCTTAACTTTGGTCCTTGATTGTTTTGGACCTTGGCTCCAAGAACTAAACAATGGCTAGTGACCAGAGATTCTGGAACGAGAGTTACTGAACTAATAATGTTATCAGTCTCTAAAGCAGGCATGGGCAAACTTTGGCCCTCCCAGGTGTTTTGGACTTCAACTCCCACAATTCCTAACAGCCGGTAAGCTGTTAGGAATTGTGGGAGTTGAAGTCCAAAACACCGGGAGGGCCGAAGTTTGCCCCTGCCTGCTTTAGAGAAATGTGCAATTCAAAGGGTGGAAAACAGAGTCATATCTTTTCTTTGATTACCGCGCACTTCTGCAATTTCTTTCATCGTAAAGTTCTGCTCCTGGGAAACAATCACGGTAATGTCGGCCCCGGGAGTCCCATAGCCCCAGACGATTGCACTGCTGGGTTCCTTCTGCAGCACCATGTGATCCCCATAATAGTTTGCAAAGCGAAGCTGGGCACCTGGAAGGCACGAAAAGGTACAAAAGTCCCTATTAAGAGTCACATTTTTTCAAAATTCAATTTTCACAGGGACAGAAAGTGAGGTGAAATCTTCTGAACAGGGGCACAGACAACAAAGTAAACCTCACAGGGGTGTTAACCGTTCCCTATGCTATCCAAAGCTTTTATACACACATACACACTAGCTGTACCCAGAGGCGGCCCTAGGTCATTTTCAATGGTAAGCAAACAGTATTTTGCCCCCCCCCCCCCCCACCAATCATTGATATATATTTTCTGTTTGTCGTGGGAGTTCTGTGTGCCATATTTGGTTCAATTCCATCATTGGTGGAGTTCAGAATGCTCTTTGATTGTAGGTGAACTATACATCCCAGTAACTACACTTGCCGCACTTGCTCCCTTGCCTGGCCCGCTTTGGGTCTGGAGGTGTGCCTGAAGACCCTGGCGTGTGCACCAAAAGTCACCTCTTCTCCTGACTTTCTCCTCAGCCATTGGGACCGAGAGAGAGAGAGGGAGAGGTGGAGATGCCCACCTTTCCTGAAGGTAGGCGCAAAAACAAAGGAGGGAGCGGAGGTGGGAGATACCTCCAGCTGGAGGGGCTCTCTCTCTCTCTCTCTCTTGGTCCCAATGCCTGAAGAGAAAGTCAGGAGAAGAGACAATTATATTACATTTCTAACAGAACAAAGCAAACAAACAGAGAAAATACAAATGTGTGAGTTTGGTAGTTGATTAAATGTCCTTTGTCCAGTATCTGGCCACTTGGAGCGCTTCCGGTGTTGCTGCAAGAAGGTCCTCCCTTGCGCATGTGGCAGGGCTCAGGTTGCATTGCAGCAGGTGGTCAGTGGTTTGCTCCTCTCCGCACTCGCATGTCGAGGATTCCACTTTGTAGCCCCATTTCTGAAGGTTGGCTCTGCATCTTGTAGTGCCAGAGTGCAGTCTGTTCAGCGCCTTCCAAGTTGCCCAGTCCTCTGTGTGCCCAGGGGGGAGTCTCTCATTTGGTATCAGCCATTGGTTGAGGTTCTGGGTTTGAGCCTGCCACTTTTGGACTCTCGCTTGCTGAGGCGTTCCAGCGAGTGCCTCTGTAGATCTTAAAAAACTATGTCTTGATTTAAGTCGTTGACGTGATGGCTGATACCCAAACAGGGGATGAGCTGGAGATGTCTCTGCCTTGGTCCTTTCACTATTGGCTGCCACTTCCCGGCGGATGTCAGGTGGTGCGATACCGGCTAGACAGTGCAATTTCTCCAGGGGTGTAGGGCGCAGACACCCTGTGATAATGCGGCATGTCTCATTAAGAGCCACATCCACTGTTTTAGTGTGGTGAGATATGAGTCACCAGCAAACACCTTGCAAAAATGACAGCTTTAAGGATTTCATTGCCTGGAGCCATGGGAGCTTCCAATGGTCTCCAATGGCATTCACTCAATCAGCGGCTCCCAAAGCTTGGTCTTCTAGGTTTTGGAGACTTCAACTCCCAGAAGCCCCAGCCAGTTTGGTGAGCCACCGGGGATTCTGGGAGATGGAGTCCAACCTTCCTAGCATTGGGCTCTGTGGGGGCACCGGCCGCACATGCGCAGTCGCTCTGGCTTTACCTGCGCTCCAAGCAAAGAGCAGAACGGGGGCGAGGAAGAGCCGCGGGGACGCCATGGACCTCTCGAGCCAGACAACGCTTGCTTCCAAGAGCCTGGGGCGCTCCTCCGAGGGCTGACGCGCGGCTGGGAGGGAGGAGCCGCCTTGTGTGACCTCACACTGGGCCGGAGCAAGCCCGGAGGGAAGGAAGCAGGCAGAAGGACCCGCTACAGGCAAGGTCTGCTCTTTGGACTTCAGCTCCCAGGAGCCCTTTTCATTGGCCAAAGCAGCGGAGGCTTCTGGGAAATGAAGTCCAGGGCGAGAGACTGGCAATCACCGCCTACAGCAGGTATGGGCAAACTTCAGCCCTCCCTCCAGGTGTTTTGGATGCCAGCTCCCATCATTCCTAACAGCCTCAGGCCCCTTCCTTTTCCCGCTTAAGCGGCTGAGGGGGAAAAGGAAGAGGCCTGAGGCTGTTAGGAATGATGGGAGTTGGAATCCAAAACATCTAGAGCCCCCAAGTTTACTCTTGCCTGCTCCAGAGCATGGATCCTCTTTGAATCCAATTTCTGCCTCCTGCAGAATTCGGGGGTTTGTAGTTTAGGGCAGTTTAAAGGCACCTCCCTAAACTACAAGCCCCAGAATTCTGCAAGAGGCCACAACTGAATTTCAAGTGGATCCATACTCTAGTGATGAAGTCCAATTGCCACATCCATGTTCAACATCTACACAAATGACCAGCCACTGCCAGAAGGGACAGAGAGTTTCATCTATGCTGATGATCGTGCCATTACCGCTCAAGCAGGGAGCTTTGAGATGGCTGAACAGAAGCTTTCCGAAGCAATAGGTGCTCTTACTGTCTATTACAGGGAAAACCAGCTGATCCCCAACCCATCCAAAACACAGACATGTGCTTTTCATCTCAAGAACAGAGAAGCATCCCGAGCTCTGAGGATCACCTGGGAGGAATCCCACTGGAGCATTGCAGCACACCCACATACCTGGGAGTCACTCTGGACCATGCTCTGACCTACAAGAAGCACTGCCTGAACAACAAGCAAAAAGTGTGTGCTAGAAACAATATCATACAAAAGCTGACTGGCACAACCTGGGGATCACAACCAGATACAGTGAAGACATCTGCCCTTGCGCTGTGCTACTCTGCTGCTGAGTATGCATGGCCAGTGTGGAACACATCTCACCACGCTAAAACAGTGGATGTGGTTCTTAATGAGACATGCCGCATTATCACGGGGTGTCTGCGCCCTACACCACTGGAGAAATTACACTGTTTCGCTGGTATTGCACCACCTGACATCCACCGGGAAGTAGCAGCCAATAGTGAAAGGACCAAGGCAGAGACATCTCCAGCTCAACCCTTGTTTGGGTATCAGCCAGCATGTCAACGACTTAAATCAAGAAATAGTTTTCTAAGATCTACAGAGACACTTGGAACACCTCAGCAAGCGAGAGTCCAAAAGTGGCAGGCTCAAACCCAGAACCTCAATCAATGGCTGATACCAAATGAGAGACTGCGCTCTGGCACCACGAGATGCAGAGCCAACCTTCAGAAATGGGGCTACAAAGTGGAATCCTCGACATGCGAGTGTGGAGAAGAGCAAACCACTGACCACCTGCTGCAATGTACCCTGAGCCCCGCCACATGCACAATGGAGGACCTTCTTGCAGCAACACCAGAAGCACTCCAAGTGGCCAGATACTGGTCAAAGGACATTTAACCAACTACCAAACTCACACATTTTGTATTCTGTATTCTGTATTTTTGTATTTTGTCTGTTTGTTCGCTTTGTTCTGTTAAAAATGTAATATAATTGACTGGCTGCTGATGACTCGATAAATAAATAAATAAATTGCCACACCCAATTTAAGTTAGTTTGTGGCAGCCGCAAAAACAAAGTTTCTGGAGCATAACAAATACTTTCAAAGTAAATACCTCACAATGAAACAAGAAATAACACTTTCAAACCAGGAATGGGGGGGGGGGGGGGAAGCAATTTTTGTTACATAGTGTTTCTCTGCTTTGAACTGGAGTCTATTTATTTACTAGCCGTCCCTTGCATCACGTTGCTGTGGCCCAATCTGTGTATATGTGTTTTGTGCGTGGATATATGTGTTTATGTGTGTGTATTTGTGTATATATGTGTGTTTCTATGTATATATGTATATATGTGGGGTTATATGTGTGTATATATATATGTGAATTTTATGTGTACATGCATATTGTGTATATTTTTGTGTATATGCGTGTTCATGTGTATATGTATATATGTATGTGTGCATGTCTATGATATATGTATGCATATATTTGTGTGTATATGTGTGTGCGCATGTGTATATTTATGTGCATGTGTTTATGTATATATGTATGTGTGTATGTATGTGTGCCCAGCGAAATCTTCTGTGTTTTAATGTCTGATTTTATAATGTTGTGTTGCTTATTACATTGTTTTGCATTTCATGTATTTTATTTTTTGGTTTTATTATGTTCTTGTGTTATTTTGTTGTGTGTTGTACTGATGCACGTGGCCTCATGTAAACCGCACCGAGTTTTACATGAGATGGAGATGGAGCGGGGTATTAATAAATTATTATTATTATTATTGTTATTATTATTATATGTATGTATGTGTATATGTGTATATTTGTGTTTGTGCATATATGTGTGTGTGTGTATGAATGTGTGCATGTGTATATGTATATGAGTTTATGTGTATATGTATATATGGTGTATTTTTTGGGTTTTTAAGTCTGTCCAGCTGTAGTTTTGTGTGTGCGTGCATGTTTAGTGGGGATGGACACTCGTTGGACTGTTAGGTGTATTGTGTCCAAATTTTGTGTCAATTCGTCCAGTGGTTTTTTAGTTATGTTAATCCAAAAACAAACACTACATTTTTATTTATATTGATTATTTATTTCCAATATTTCTATCCCGTTCCTTCTCAACCCCCAAAGGGGGACTCAGGACGGCTTACATTTGGCAGCAATTCAATGCTACTACATATACCACAGCAATATAATAACAAGTAAAACAATATGTTTCGGCCTTCAACTCCCAAAAATCCTAAGGGCTGGTAAATTGGATGGGATTTCTGGGAGTTGTAGGCTAAAACACCTGGGAACCCACAGGTTGAGAACCACTACCTGAACCTGAAGCATATATAATATTATAGATTAATATCATCATAGATAATTATAGAATCCTAGAGTTGGAAGAGACCTCATGGGCCATCCAGTCCAACCCCCTGCCAAGAAGCAAGAATATTGCATTCAAAGCACCCCCGACAGATGGCCATCCAGCCTCTGTTTAAAAGCCTCCAAAGAACTAGTATCCACCACACTCCGGGGCAGAGAGTTCCACTGCTGAATGGCTCTCACAGTCAGGAAGTTCAGATTTTTTTTTTGTCGTGTCAGGAGCGACTTTAGAAACTGCAAGTTGCTTCTGGTGTGAGAGAATTGGCCGTCTGCAAGGACGTTGCCCAGGGGATGCCTAGATGATTTGATGTTTTTATAATCCTTGTGGGAGGCTTCTCTCATGTCCCCGCATGGGGAGCTGGAGCTGACAGAGGGAGCTCATACGCCTCTCCCCAGATTCGAACCTGCGACCTGTCGGTCTTCAGTCCTGCCGGCACTGGGTTTTAACCCACTGCGCCACTGGGGGCTCTGATGATGATGATGATTATTATTATGGACTTAATCTCCTAGAATTACTTATCATTGCAAAAGGCAGTAGTGTCAGAAGCTACTTGAGAAACTGAAAGTTGCTTCTGGTGTGAGAGAACTGGCCATCTGCAGAGATGTTGCCCAGGGGATGCCTAGATGTGTTACCATCCTGTGGGAGGCTTCTCTCATGTCCCAGGAAGTTCAAATGGAATCTCTTTTTGTAGTTTGAAGCCATTGTTCCGCATCCTAGCTTGCTCCCTCCTCCCTATAACTTTCCCCCACATATTTATACATGTCCCTCATGTCTCTTCTCAGCCTTCTCTTCTTCAGGCTAAACATGGCCAGCTCTATAAGCCGCTCCTCATGGGGCTTGTTCTCCAGACTCTTGATCATTTTAATCACCCTGCTCTGGACACATTTCATTATAGATTAATATCATCATAGATAATCGTAGAATCCTAGAGTTGGAAGAGACCTCATGGGCCATCCAGTCCAACTCCCTGTCAAGTAGCAAGAAAACTGAATTCAAAGCACTCCCAGCAGATGGCCATCCAGCCTCTGTTTAAAAGCCTCCAAAGAACTAGCATCCACCACACTCCGGGGCAGAGAGTTCCACTGCTGAACGGCTCTCACAGTCAGGAAGTTCAGATGGAATCTCCTTTCTTGTAGTTTGAAGCCATTGTTCCGCATCCTAGTCTCCAGGGTGGCAGAAAACAAGCTTGCTCCCTCCTCCCTATAACTTCCCCTCACATATTTATACATGTCCCTCATGTCTCTTCTCAGCCTTCTCTTCTTCAGGCTAAACATGCCCAGCTCTTTAAGCCGCTCCTCATTGGGCTTGTTCTCCAGACCCGTGATCATTTTAATCACCCTCCTCCGGACACATTCCATTATAGATTAATATCATCATAGATAATTATAATCCAGTTCAAAGCAGATATTGTGGTATTTATATTATATTATATTTATTTTATTTATATTTATTTATATTATTTATATTTGTATATATTTAATATATTTGTATTTATTCATATTAGCAATATAATACTAATAATATCATCATAGATAATTATAGAATCAAAGAGTTGGAAGAGACCTCATGGGCCATCCAGTCCAACCCCCTGCCAAGAAGCAAGAATATTGCATTCAAAGCACCCCCGACAGATGGCCATCCAGCCTCTGTTTAAAAGCTTCCAAAGAAGGAGCCTCTGCCACACAATATTATCATAGATGTGCCCAACTGGACTGGCTTAGTCCTGTCAGTTTGTACTTACCACTGTGCAACGCCATAAAAGCCAGCGATGACGTCATACGCCGGGTCTGACGTCACTGCTGGCCTTCTATGACGTCGTCTTTTCCTCCCTCCCACCCTCAGAATCCCGGGAGGCCAAGGATTCAAGGAGGGCGGGGACAAAAGCTAAGCGGCTTCCTGATTGGGCGAGCGTCATTGAATGGCGGGGGCATCGGCCAATAGGCTGGCGAGGGGAAAGGCTTTAATTGGGAGCGAAGAGTTTTGTCCCTCCCCCGTCGCCGTCGGCGTTGCCTAGGCAACCGACAACAAAGGCCGGGCTCCCTCCCCGTCCCTTCCATTCCACGCTGAAGAGGTAAAGCGAGGCCGGGGTGATGCGTGTCGCCGGGGGGCCGGGTTGGGAAACCAAGGGTTGGTTCAGCATCCCTTTCCCCTGGAAGAGCTCACGCCTGGCCTGCGGTCTGGTCGGGCATGGGCGCGTCCACACCGTGGAATTAACGCAGTTTGGTGCTAGATGCTGTGGGATCTTTGACGTTGCAGAGAAGGCCTTGCTAAACGGAAGCTGTTCACCTCACAGCACTGACCCAGGGCAGATCAAGGCCCCTTCCACACAGCTATATACAATCCCACATTGTCTGCTTTGAACTGGGTTATATCACCATCATCATCATCTAATAACTTATTAATCGCCCTCCATCCGAGAATGCTCCAGGCGATTTACAGCTAAATTACAAAAGATAAAATACATACATACAAAAATTAAAAATTAACAGAGATCGAATGCTCTAGTAAAAAGCCAGGTCTTAAGTGCGAGAGTAAAAGGCCCTAAGTCACTCATGGCTCTCATGTAGGGCGGCAAGGAATTCCACAAGGCAGGGGCAGAAATAGAAAAAGCCCTGCGTCTGGTCCTTTCCAAGTGCACTTCTCTAGGACCCGGTATATGGAGTAAGTCACGTTGGGCTGGTCGTTGCGACCTCCGATGATGGGAGAAGGAGAGGCGGTCCCTAAGGTATGATGGACCCTGGCCATAAAGAGTTTTAAAGGTCAGAACTAGCATCTTATACAGGCCACGGTCAGGCCTGTAGCGAGGGGGTGGTTTTAGGGGTTCAACCCCCCCCCCCGAAATGTTTCAGATTTTTTTTAAAAAACCTGGTTTACTCATGAATTTTTACTGGTTAACCAAATCCCCATGCTAAGTCTATGAGATGCAAAAAATTAAGAGTCCCTCCAGAACTGCAAGCACTATCTCAAGCAAATATTGACAATTTATTCACACTGTCATTACTTGCAGCAATAGCCGATGTAGTGAAGCAACCAAGTTGGGTGTGTGTGTGTTGAATGCTCTCATTAAGGAGGCCAGACTTGGTGGAGGTGGTTGACAAGGGCGGAGCTGCGGGCTATGGAAGGTTGCTCTGCCCCCTGCTGTGCTCTTTGCTTCAGCATGAGCTAGGCTTCAACCCCCCCAAAATTTTCAACCCTCCCCGAAATTTTCAACCCCCCCCCCAATTTTCAACCCCCCCCCCCAAACTGTCAACCCTCCCCGAATTTTTTTTCTGGCTACGGCCCTGGCCACAGTACTCAGTTGGAAGCCAATGTAAATGTTGCAGCACTGGTGTTTTATGGCATTTCATGGGCGTTCTTGTGAGTAACCTGGTTGCCACATTCTGAACAATACAAAGCTTTCGGGTCGTAGACATCGGAAGGCCCACATACAGGGCGTTGCAATAGTCCAGCCTAGACATGACCGTGGCATGGATGACAGTTGCCAGAGCCTCGTCAGATAGGTAGGGTGCCAGTTGCCTCGCTTGTCGTAGATGGAAAAAGGCCTGTTTGCTGGCAGCAGCGACCTGAGCTTCCATTGTCAGCTGTGAATCCAGGATGACACCTAAGCTCTTAACAGTGGTCGATGGAGATAGGGCAGCACCATCGAAGGTGGGTAATGGAGGAGTCAGACCTGCCAGGTGGCCATGCCAGAGAATCTCAGTCTTCGCCGGGTTCACCTTCAGTCTGCTAGCACGTAGCCAGTTTGACAGAGCTTCCAGACATAGGGTGAAATTGTCTGGAATTGACGTTGCTCCAGGCTCCAGGCGCAGAAGGAGTTGGGTATCGTCTGCATATTGGTAGCAGTCCAGGCTGAAACTCCGAGCCAAACTAGCAAGGGGTCTAACGTAGATGTTGAAGAGAAGAGGAGAGAGAATTGCACCTTGGGGGACCCCACATAGGAGGGGGGATCTATCGGAGACTTGATCCATGTACTCCACGCGTTGACTCCGGTTCTGGAGAAATGAGTTGAACCAATTGAGGGCCTGACCACGAACTCTGGACATGGCAAGATGGTGAATCATTAGATCGTAGTCGACAGTGTCGAACGCTGCAGTAAGGTTGAGAAGTACCAGTAGCGCGGATCCACTGTTGTCAGACTGGCGACGGAGTTCATCCGTAATGGCAGTGTGGACTCAGATAACCCAGTTCAAAGCAGATATTGTGGGATTTATATTATATGTGTGTATGTATATAATATTTATATTTATTTATATTAGCAATATAATACTAATAATAATAATATAATTATATATTTATATTACATGTAATATTACTAATAATATTACAATACAATGGTATAGTACAATACAGTCATATTTAATACTTATATTGTACTATGCTAAAAATATAATTTATTGTACACTAACCGTCCCCTGCCATGCGTTGCTGTGGCCCACATGGGGGTTCTGTGTGGGAGGTTTGCCCCAATTCTAATGTTGGTGGGGTTCAGAATGCTCTGTGATTGTAGGTGAACTATAATCCCAGCAACTACAACTCCCAAATGTCAAGATTTTATTTTCCCCAAACTCCACCAGTGTTCACATTTGGGCATATTGAGTATTCTTGTAGATCCATCATTGTTTGAGTCCACAGTGATCTCTGGATGTAGGTGAACCACAACTCCAAAACCAAAGGACACTGCCCACCAAACCCTTCCAGTATTTTCTGTTGGTCATGGGAGTTCTGTGTGCCAAGTTTGGTTCAATTCATCGTTGGTGGAGTTCAGAATGCTCTTTGATTGTAGGTGAACTATAAATCCAGCAACTACAACTCCCAAATGACAAAATCATTTTTTGAGTGAAGGACATACATTGGGTTGTTAGGTGTCTTGGGTCCAAATTTGGTGTCAATTCGTCCAGTGGTTTTTGAGTTCTGTTAATCCCACAAACGAACATTACATTTTTATGTATATAGATATATATATATATTGTAAGCCACTCTGAGTCCCCTTCAGGGTGAGAAAGGCAGCATATAAATGCTGTAAATAAATAAATAATAAAAAAATCTGCCTTGATATTCTGGGTTATATGACTGTTTGGAAAAGCCCAAAGTGCAGGTGCATCTTGCGAATTGCCTAAGGCCACTCAGGGCAAGTCACTTGTTGTCTCCTTGTCTTATTTAAGAAATGTCATGGTTTCTGCTTTTCAGAATGGAATTTTTACAATTTTTATGAAAAGTTTCATTAGCAACTGATAGGCAAATCAAATAATATATAATAAAATAATAATTAGTTATATTACTTGCAATATTACTAATAATATCACAATATAGTGGCTCAAGTCGCTCCTGACACGACAAAAAAAATTAGTGGTATAGTTCAATATAGTAATATATAATACTAATATTGTTCTGTGCTAATAATATAATATCTATACAGATAATATTGATAATTGTGAAAGGCTTTCATGGCCAGAATCACTGGATTTGTTGTAGGTTTTTTTTCGGGCTATATGGCCATGGTCTAGAGGCATTCTCTCCTGACGTTTTGTCTGCATCTATGGCAAGCATTCTCAGAGGTAGGGAGGTGGCAAGCATCCCCACTACCTCTGAGGATGCTTGCCATAGATGCAGGCGAAATGTCAGGAGAGAATGCCTCTAGAACATGGCCATATAGCCCGAAAAAACCTACAACAACCCAATATTGATAATAATATTATAATGTAATACAATATACTAATAATAGGTAAAGGTAGATTTTCCCCTGACATTAAGTCCAGTCGTGTCCGACTTCAGGGAGTGGTGCTCATCGCCATTTCTAAGCTAAAGAGCTGGCGTTGTCTGTAGACACTTCCAAGGTCAGGTGGTCGGCATGACTGCATGGAGCACCGCACCGCTACCTTTCCAACAGAGCGGTACCTATTGTTCTACTCGCATGTTTTCGAACTGCTAGGTTGGCTGGGGCTACCAGTGGGTGCTCACCCTGCTTCCCGGATTTGAACCTGTGACCTTTTGGTTAGCAAGTTTAGCAGCTCAGTGGTTTAACCCACTGCACCACCAGGGGCCCCAATACAATATACTAATACAATATACTAATATTACTATATAATAACATTGTAATGTAGTAATGCTAATATATTATAATTACTACTAATAATATATTATAATATATAATTATATGTTTTATTATTGTATATTTTTATATTTTAAGTTGTAATGTTTTTGATTGTGAGCCGCTTTGAGTCTCCACATTGAGAGATAAGGTAAAGTAAAAGTAAAGGCTTCCCCTTGACATTAAGTCTAGTTGTGTCTGACTTCGGGGGGGGGGGGGGGAATGGTGCTCATCTCCATTTCTAAGCCAAAGAGTTGCCATTATCTGTAGACACCTCCAAGGTCATGTGGCCAGCATGACTGGTCCTACTGTATAGCAGAGGTTAGGTTGTAGAAACTGAATGGTAACACATTGGAGCTGGCAGTTCGAATTATGCAAAGTTTTGTAACAGTTAAGAAGTTAGGAAAAAATGAAAGAGGCACCCCATAGACAGAGAGAAAGAGCCGAGTTTGTATTATTTTGTGTGTGCGTGTGTATGTGTGTGTGTATATGTGTGTGTGTGTAGGCTTTTCTTGGGGTGAATGGGTTAAGGTTAGTACTTAGCCAATCCCTCGTTGGACGAGTAAGATGATCTTCCTGGATGACTATTTTTGTGGGTTTGTAGGTGGCTGTGGAGCCCTATTCTTGACCCGCATCTTCTCCCACAGTGAAGGCATTGGTTTCCAGGTGGAAGGTGGTCCCGGTCGGGGTTGGCTTGACGCGCCTTCCTCCTGGCACGTTTCTCTTTTTCACCCTCCACTCGTGCCTCCTTGAATTCTGCAGCACTGCTGGTCACAGCTGACCTCCAGCTGGAGCGGTCAAGGGCCAGGGCTTCCTAATTCTCAGTGTCTATGCCAGAGTTTTTAAGGTTGGCTTTGAGGCCATCTTTAAATCTCTTTTCCTGTCCACCAACATTCCGTTTTCCGTTCTTAAGTTCAGAGTAGAGCAACTGCTTTGGGAGGCGGTGGTTATGCATCCGGACAACATGGCCGGCCCAGCGGAGTTGATGGCACAGGACCATCGCTTCAGTGCTGGTGGTCTTTGCTTCTTCCAGCATGCTGACGTTTGTCCGCTTGTCTTCCTAAGATATTTGCAGGATTTTCCGGAGGCAGCGATGATGGAATCGTTCCAGGAGTTACATGTGACGTCTGTAGACAGTCCACGTTTCACAGGCATAGAGCAGGGTTGGGAGGACAATAGCTTTATAGACAAGCATCTTGGTATCCCTACAGAGGTCCCGGTCCTCAAACACTCTCTACTTCATTTGGGAAAATGCTGCACTCGCAGAGCTCAGGCGGTGTTGTATTCTGGTGTCGATGTTGACTTTGGTGGAGAGGTGGCTGCCAAGGTAGCGGAAATGGTCAACATTTTCTAATGTTACACCATTAAGTTGTATCTCTGGCATTGGGGAGGGGATGGCTGGTGACTGCTGGAACAGCACTTTGGTTTTCTCGATGTTCAGTGACAGGCCAAGCTTCGTGTATGCTTTTGCGAAGGTGTTTAGAGTGGCTTGTAGATCTTCTGAATGCGCACAGACGACATTGTCATCAGCATACTGGAGTTCTATAACAGATGTTGTTGTAACCTTGGTTTTGGCTTTCAGTCAGTTTTCAGTTAAGGTCAGTAGTCACAGCCTAGTCTTGGCTCCAGGGGTACAGTTTCCCAAGCACATATATTATATCAAGATTCTATGTCTTGATAATGGCGGAAAATAAATAAATAAAGAGATAAAGTGGTAAATAAATAACTAATACTCCCAATTTTCAGATTATGTCTCTTCCATTGGTCTTATAAATGAAGTGCAGGTGAGACGGAAACCTCCTGAGCGGCAATGGCGATTCCATTCTCCAATACCACGCAACGCATTCCTCCAGGGTTTGCGAATCTGCTCGAAGGCCTGGCCAGGGAAGTCTTGAGGAGCCAACCTGAAGATATACCAAGCTTTGCAGCCAAGTACTTTGAAACTCTTCTCATCGAAAGAGAAAGTGAGCCTCAACTGAATTAGCTTCTCAAGCATTTCATGAAATTAATATATGTGAATCTTCACCCAGACCTAAGAAAGACTCCCACAGTCTATATCTATGTACATTTTCTCAGAAGTATGTCACTGGGGCAGGCATGGGCAAACTTTGGCCCTGCAGGTATTTTGGACTACCGGCTGTTAAGAATTGTGGGAGTTGGAGTAAAAAAAACCCGGAGGGCCAAAGTTTGGCCATGCCTGTACTGGGGCTTAGTCTGCCATGTAAAGTGTGCAAAAGACTGTGGTCTGAAAGGCACTTGATTATCCCAGCTATACAGTAAAAGACACAGTCTGCTGCCTGGTATAAAATCTGGTATCTTTAAAAGTCCCATTCTCATTTTGTTTACAAAAGTTTGGGGCTCTCATAATTGTGGAGACTAGCCAAACAACATCAACTGGTGAGCAGTCAGTATTTGAGGATGATATAATTTGACCTGATGTCAATCATGGGATAATACTGGGTCAGCTTAATCTTATGCATTTTTATTAGAAGTAAATCCCTTTGGAATGTATAGGCTTTCTTTCCAGGTACATAGCATCTTTTTATCTGTTTTGTGTCCTAGATTGCCTTAAACACACTTAGGATGAGGTATCAAATATTCTTCTCATCACTTCTCATTGTATTGTCATAATAATACTGTTGCATAAGTCCGCACCTGTATGCTTGTCCACTATGCCCTGCCTCATGTACAGAAGAAGAATTGTCGGAGGCTACAGACAATGCCATTGCTGTTGCCTGTTTTTGGTCAAAAGATATTTAGCCGCCTGCGCTCCTATTTTATCAGTTTTATACTAATTTATGCAGTGCTTTTCGTACGAAATAAAATTAATGATTATTTATTTATCGTGTGAGGAGCAAGCCAAACAATTGTACTGCATTTTTAAACAAACAAACAAACAAAGTTTGCAAGCTTGGTAGTTGATTAAATGTCCTTTGACCAGTAGCTGGCCACTTGGAGTGCCTCTGGTGTTACTATAAGAAGGTCCTCCATTGTGCATGTGGCAGAACTCAGGTTGCATTCCAGCAGGTGGTCTGTGATTTGCTCTTCTCCACACTCGCATGTCGTGGATTCCACTTTGTAGCCCCATTTCTTGAGGTTGGCTCTGCATCTCGTGGTACCAGAGCACAGTCTGTTCAGCGCCTTCCAAGTCGCCCAGTTTTCTCTGTGTTCAGTGGGGGAGTCTCTCATTTGGTATCAGCCATTGATTGAGGTTCTGGGTTTGAGCCTGCCACTTTTGGACTCTCGCTTGCTGACGTGTTCCAGTGAGTGTCTCTCTAGATCTTAGAAAACTATTTCTTGATTTAAGTCGTTGATGTGCTGGCTGATACGCAAACAGGGGATGAGGTGGAGATGTCACTGCCTTGGTCCTTTCTGAATAAATAAATAAGCCAGGATGAGAATTGGTGACTGGCACAAGTCAACGAAGATAGTTTCAAAGGTGAGAGGACATTTGTGCTCAGGTCCCCCAAGTCTTAGGCAAACAATCTACTGTATATACTCAAGTATAAGCCTAGTTTTTCAGCCCTTTTTTTAGGCTGAAAAAGCTCCCCTCGGCTTATACTTGAGCCAAGGTTATTTATTATTTTACTCTGTTATTAGTATTATTTTTATTATATTTACGTTATTACTCTATTATTATTTTTATTACATTTATTATTTACTCTATTATTATTGATATTATTACATTTACATTATTTTACTCTATTATTTTCATTACATTTATTATTTTACTCTGATTACATTTATTATTTTACTCTATTATTGTTATTAAATTTATTATTTTGCTCTCTTTATTATTATTGGAAAGATACGTAAGCACATGTACATTGAAGGAGGCTAGAATAATGGTTTCATCAGAGCTGGACAGTCTTCCATTACAGTTTTATGTAAACTGTAATGGCTGTACCCGCCACGCGTTGCTGTGGCCAACCTTCCCTCCCCCTTTCTCTCCTTCCTTCCCTCTTTCCTCCCTTTCCTCTTTTTCTTTCCCTATCTCTCATCTTTCTTCCATCTCTACCTGTTTCTTTTCTTCCTTCCTTCCTTCCTTCCTTCCTTCCTTCCTCCTTCCTTCCTTCCTTCCTTCCTTCCTTCCTTCCTTCCCTCCCTCCCTCCCTCCCTCCCTCCCTCCCTCCCTCCCTCCCTCCCTCCCTATCTTTTGTTCCTTCTCTCCTTCCTTCCTTCTCTTTTTCCTTTCACTTTTTATTTCCTTCTCTCTTTCCTTTCTTCTCTATCTATCTATCTTTCTTTCTTTCCTTCTTTCCCTCCCTGCTTCTCTCCTTCCCTCCCTCTTTCCCTCCTTCTCTCGTTACTTCTTGACTGTTCCTTCCATTTAATATTGTATTTATCTTACATAGAAAGAAGGAAGAGGAAGGAAGGAAGGGAGGAAAGGAAGGAGGAGGAAGGGAAGGAAGGAAGGAAGGAAGGAAGGAAGGAAGGAAGGAAGGAAGGAAGGAGGGAAAGAAAGGATGGGGATGAAGAAAGGAGGGAGGGAAGGAAATGAAGGGGAAGGAAATGAAGAAAGGGAAAGGAAGGTGGAAAGGGAGGGAGGAAGGAAAAGAAGGAAAGGAAAAAGGAAGGAAGGAAGAAGGAAGGGAAGGAGGGAAAGAAGGAAAGGAAGGAGAAGGAAAGAAGAAAAGGAAAGAAAGGAAAGGGAGGGAAGAAGGGAAGGGAGGTAGAGAAGGAAGGTACTTCATTCAAGCACCGTGGACCTTCCTCGCCTTTTCGTCCTCCTAAAATTAGGTGCCTCGGCTTATGTTCGGGTCGGCTTATACTCGAGTATATATGGTAATTATTACATCATTTTGGCTTTACTCAAACAAGTTATTTTCTTAATAGGCAGCTCAACATGGCTTGGCTGTTTTATGTGGTTTGAAATGTATAGTAGAGGCTCCTAGAGAATGGTAGTATGCAATATGCAAATTATTGGGAAATGCAAGAGAGCATTTCTCTGTATAACATATAGTATAAACATTTTTTTCCCATTTTCCCAACTGAGTCAATCAGCTCTGCCTGCTGTAGGTGGAAATCTACTTCTTTTTGCTGGGAGTAAAATTGCTTCTGCCCCTCCTTGGTTTAACAGACCTTCAGATTTATTTTGGTTTTTGTTATGTGAAGATGTTGCTAAGCAGATTGACATCGAAGCGAATGATTTTAATTGCATAGGGCACAGTAGCAGCTCTTACATAACAGAGTTCTATGAATTCGGCACCAAAATAAATTCTTCTTGCCCTGAAATCCAAATTTTGAAGCCTGAGCATATATTATGCCATTTAAGAACAGTGTGCAGATTTTTAAAAAAGCAGGGCAAGAATATTTCCAGTGCTAGGACGAATTGTTCCCCTGCATGTGCGCACACACATACATAATTTTAAAAAGAGGCCAGCAAGTACTAGTGGGGGCATAAGTCTGTGTGGAATAGGAAAAAAAAATGGTTTTTGTAGGCTATTGTAACATTTTAAGGACAGGAAACAGGTAAAGACATGATCTTAAATGGGATCTCGACTTCTCTTGACTTTTTTTCACTACAGCAGTTGTATGTGTCAGTCATTTTAAAGGAATAACTTCTGACCGAGGTTCAAATCCAAGGAGAGAAGGTTGAGCTCCCTCTGTCAGCTCCAGCTCCCCATGTGGGGGCATGAAAGAAGCCCCCTACAAGGATGGTAAAACAGCAAACATCCAGGCGTCCCCGAGGAATGTCCTTGCAGATGGCCAATTATCTCACACCAAAAGCGACTTGTAGTTTCTCAGGTTGCTCCTGGCACGAAAAAAAAAATCATATTGCATCTTTATTATCCTTTTGTTTTGGTGAAGAATTTTACTGAATTAGGATATCTCACAAACTTGGAGTCTGCCCATCCCTGCCTTTTGTTTCTTCTGCTAATTCCTTTGTAACTATGATGTTATTGTTTACTAGCCGTCCCCTGCCACGCATTGCTGTGGCCCACATGGAGGTTCCGTGTGGGAGGCTTGGCCCAATTCTATCATTGGTGGGGTTCAGAATGTTATGTGATTGTAGGTGAACTATAAATCCCAGCAACTACAACTCCCAAATGTCAAGATTCTATTTTCCCCAAACTTCACCAGTGTTCACATTTGGGCATATTGAGTATTCGTGTAGTGTTTGATCCAGATTCATCATTGTTTGAGTCCACAGTGATCTCGGGATGTAGGTGAACTACAATTCCAAAACCAAAGGGCACTGCCCACCAAAGCTTTCCAGTATTTTCTGTTGTTCATGGGAATGTTATGTGATTGTAGGTGAACTATAAATCCCAGCAACCACAACTCCCAAATGTCAAGATTCTATTTTCCCCAAACTCCACCAGTGTTCACATTTGGGCATATTGAGTATTCGTGTAGTGTTTGATCCAGATTCATCATTGTTTGAGTCCACAGTGATCTCGGGATGTAGGTGAACTACAACTCCAAAACCAAAGGGCATTGCCCACCAAACCCTTCCAGTATTTTCTGTTGTTCATGGGAGAACTGTGTGCCAAGTTTGGTTCCATTCCATCGTTGATGGGGTTCAGAATGCTCTTTGATTGTAGGTGAACTATAAATCCCAGCAACTACAACTCCCAAATTACAAAACCAATTTTTTGAGTGAAGGACATACATTAGGTTGTTAGGTGTATTGTGTCCAAGTTTGGTCTCATTTTGTCCAGTGGTTTTTGAGTTCTGTTAATTCCACAAACAAACATTACATTTTTATTTATATAGATTGTTTGCGTTTTCGGTTTGTGTTTTTGGTTTTTCTTTATTGTAATTGTCATTTGGGCTTGGCCTCATGTACGCTGCTCTGAGTCGGGGAGATGGTGGCAGGGTATAAATAAAGATTATTATTATTATTATTATTATTATTATTATTATTATTATTATTGAAAGGAGTATGTGGTTTTTAATATGTCCTGGCTATTTAATGCCACAGAGAGTCTTGCCTTTGCTTCCTCCTTTCACTTGTAGGCTATTACTTGTGTTTGTTATCCTGCACAGGAAATGGAGGGCCCATGGCCCTTAAAGCTGGACTTTCACTGAGAAATGTTAGTTCCCTAAGTGTATTTTGTTGCAACTACCACTTTAAATAAACACATATTGACCAGGAAACTGGTTTTATTTTTATGTGTAGTTATTTTTAAACATTTTTTTTTCAGAAACTGGATATGACCCAAGTGAATGGGGAGCAAAGCTAGATGACAGATACTACAACAATCACGCTTTTAATGTAAGTATTACTCAGCTGGGGGCATTTACTTCCCTTTATTCTGCAGACTTGACAAACTGAACATGACATAGTACAGCAATGATCTTGAAAAAAGGTTTCTGGTAGCAATGAGAAAGAGATCTGAGTGCATAGGGATTGTCATAGGATTGAGAATGTCCGTCTTCTCACTATAAGTTATTTTATTGTAGCTATACGGTCACTAGCAGCTTTGAATGGGAGGCAGATATAAATTGGAAAGGAAATAAGGTCTGCATGGGAAACAATTTCAGTGACAACAATGCTGTGTTAGGAGAAGCAATAGTCAGGAGTGTAGCACTGAGAATCTTCCCTGTAATTTCTAATTACTGTATATACTCGAGTATAAGCCTAGTTTTTCAGCCCCTTTTTTAGGTTGAAAAAGCTCCCCTCGGCTTATACTCGAGTCAAGGTTATTTATTATTTTACTCTGTTATTAGTATTATATTTATTTCATGTATTATTTTACTCTATTATTATTACATTTAGAGTATGTTACCCTATTATAATCATTATTATTTTACACTATTTATGATTATTATTGCATTTATTATTTTACTCTATTATTACATTTATTATTTTTATTATTTATTATTTATTTACAGCATTTATATTCCACCCTTCTCACCTCGCAGGGGACTCAGGACAGATTACAATGTACACATATATGGCAAACATTCAATGCCAATTAGACATACAACATATATAGACATACACAGAGGCTATTTAACTTTATCTGGCCACCAGGAGAGCTGTCGCTTTCATCGTCCATCTGCGATGCTAATTAAGTACTTCCGCAATCCCCGCATGCTTTGCTTGAGTGCTTTTTGCTGGAGTCGTTTTATGGCCCCATAAATTAATTAAATTGCCTCCCCACACATAGGTGGTACCTAATTTTCCTATTTGACAGATGCAACTGTCTTTCGGGTTGCAAAGGTTGACAACAAGCTACACAATTGGTCGGACACTCACTCCGACTTGGGCTGGCTTCGAATTCATGACCTTTTGGTCAGAGTGATCTTAATGCAGCTGACACTCAGCCAGCTGCGCCACAACCCCGGTGCGACTGTCTAATATTACTGTTATTATTGCATTTTCATTATTTTACTTTATTATTATTATTGTTATTATTATTACATTTATTATTTTACTCTCTTATTGTTGGAAGGATACACAAGTATATTTACATTGAAGAAGGTTAGAATAATGATTTAACCAGAGTTGGGCAGTCTTATCTCAAATTACATTTTTATGTAAATATTCAAAAACATTTCACCTCCTGATGTCTCAATTAATGTAATTTTATTGTTATCTATTTTTATTTTGAAATGTACCAGTAGTGGCTGCATTTCCCACCGTTGGCTTATACTCGAGTCAATATGTTTTCCTACTTTTTTGTCATAAAATTAGGTGCCTTGGCTTATAGTCGGGTCGGCTTATACTCAAGTATATACGGTATATCACTCGTGTGGATTCTTCTGGCAGTTTCCTTCTTTGTCAGATTACTTTTTATTTATTTATTTATTTACTTTATTTACTTTATTTATAACTTTTTGCAATTTCATTTAGGTGGATTTCTGCATGGGACAGTATCTGTGGCTAGACAGTATCTCATCAGACGACTGCTAGGCTCTGTTTCCATGTACTGTGGAAATGGAGCCCCACAGGAGTCCCACGGAGGACATCACATCATGCAGGCACTTCCAGTGGGACTTTGTGGGGCTTTGTTTCTACAGTGGATGGAAGTGAAGCCTATCAGCCATCTTCTGAAGTTGAGTATTACCAGACTGCAAGGCTTTAACAGGAAAGGCAGGGAAAGGCGCGGTAAGCACATAGGATGGCTGGCCATCCCAGAAGACGGAGGAAGGTGGGAGAGAACTGGGTAAGATGGTTCCCTCTGCTTTCCCTGCCCCCCCCCCCCCACTCTATCTGATGAAGTCCTTAACCTCTCTGTCCAATGAGTTCTTCCAAGGATGACTTTACATGCAAACTTTGTTCAGATGCTCCATCAAACAACCGTGGTTCTTAAATGAACCGGCAAGCTGTGATTTAGTGTTGTTTATCTGTTTTCATTGCCTTGCCACTCCACACTTCTTTGTCTATGATGCAATTCCTTCCTGAGGCGAAGTAACAGTTTATAAATACCGTCAATCACTTCCAACCATTGGTGGCTTTTGAACCTGATTGGTCAATGTGGAGCTTTGATTCATTAGGTAATCAGATTAAGATTTCCCCTGACATTAGGTCTAGTCTTGTCTTACTCTGCGGGTGTGTGTGTGTGTGTGCTCATCTCCGTTTCTAAACTGAAGAGCTGGTGCTGTCTATAGACACCGCCAAGGTCATATTCTATCCTAGTTATATTTCACCTGGTCTTGCTCAGCATTATTTTAAAATTTTAATTTACTACATTTGGCCCAGCCATCGGTTTTTAAATGTTATTGTGTTATTGTTGATGTTTACTGCCTATTTTTTTGTTTATGAGTTTTATTTTATTGTTTTGTATTACTGTTGTTGTTTTTTGCTGATGTATTGTGGGCTTGGCCTCATGTAAGCCGCACCAAGTCTCTTGGGGAGATGGTAGCGGGGTACAAATAAAGTTTTATTCTTATTATTATTTATTATATGTCTAGCATAACTACATGGAGCGCTGTTACCTTCCCACAGAAGCAGTACCAATTGATCTACTGACATTTCCATGTTTTCGAACTGCTAGGTTGGCAGAAGCTGGGGCTAACAGCGGGAGCTCACCCCTCTCCCCAGGTTCGGTCAGCAAGTTCAGCAGCTGAGCTGTTTCTGCACCACCAGGGGCTCCTCAATCAGCTTAGATGTCTACTATCAAATTAAATTTAGAGTTCCTGCTTTCTTTTTCAGGATGTACGATTTCAGTTTTAAGCTGAAAAATAATTGAAGCTACTTCATGGGTAATATGTGAGGCTCTTTTAAGAGATTGCTGTAACATCGTCAAAGAGAAAAGCAAATTATGTGTTTGCTTTGCAGTGGTCAAAGCTATCAAAATGTGAGGATTTCCACCATTCCTATCTATATTATCTCGTGCTGATAGATTATAAATTTTACAATTCAACAACATATGGAGCACTACTTTTACCACATATTTGTGACTTCTGTTTAACGTTTCTCTGACTTTCACAGTGAATATCTTGATTGGAAAAAGATTTTAAATAAAGTATCATTTGTATTCCCTGCATCTAGTGTTCTTATAGCAGATGGCCTTTGTCTTTGCAGGAACTTGCACCACCAGGTGGTGGTGATAAACAGGAGGATCAAGAGGAAAAGACTGCGGCAGAGTCCGTAAGGAATCTTTCCATATATATTATTTCCTGACTGTGTCCTTGTTGGTTCTGATGGACATCTCAGCAGCATGATATTTCTGCAGAATGGAACTTGGGGCCATTATTGTGCAGTAGTTCCAGCCTTTTGGGAAATGATGAATCAAAAGGTGGTGCTGGGAGATTCCTGGTCAATGTCCTGGCCATTGATCTGTGAGGTCCCTCCGAGTTCTATTTCATTCTCCGCACTGCTTAACATCTACACAAAACCACTGGGAGAGGTCACCTGGAGTTTGGGAGTGTCACCATACATTTCATCCCATTGGTATTATTTTAAGTGCTAAATTCAGAAATTCTTAGCAGGCAAAAATGTCCTTGTGAAAGATGATAGAGAGCTGTCCAAGTGACATTCACAAGATCCAGTATTAAAAATAGCCCCACTGGTTTCTTGTAGGAAATATGTATTTTTAAATGTGACAAAACAAGATGCAGCTTGTTTTTCCACCCACCTTGGATAACAGAAGCCAAACTCATTTTCAAACTCATTTTCATCAAGGGCCACAGTAGCCTTATGGTGGCCTTTAAAGGGCTGCTGAATCCATGGACAGAGAATCCATAAATACAATGATCAACTTTTTTTTTACATAGTGGTCGTTTAGTTTTTACCCAGTTTTATCCCAATTTTTTAAACAATAGTTTTTTATTATTATACCTTTAAAACATATTGTTGACACACCCAAAAAGCAGATAAAAATAAAAGGGGTGGGGTTTTTGGAGCTCTGGTTAGTAGATTAGAGTTATATAAATACCTGCTGTTCACTGAAGAAGAGGAAGGGGTTAGGGGTTAGGGGAAATGAAAGAAATATGTGTGTGTGTGTACATATATGTTTGTTATAGTTATTACATCAGGAATGGACAAACGTTCTAACTTGGGGGCCGCATGGTGGGCTAGAGAGAGGTGGGTGGGCCGGGAGGAAGGGGGTTCTCTCCAAGTCTCCTCCATGTCGTTTCCTCCACTTCTTCTTCTCTTTTGGAGGCAGAAAGTGAAGGAAAGACAGGAAACCTTTTGATCCCAAAAGAGTTGGCCTTGGTCAGGATGGGGTGGTAGACAGGAGAGAAAAAGTGTATCAGTTTGACTCCGTATTACCCACTCCTGATATAGAATCCTAGAGCTGGAAGAGACCCCCAAGGGCCATCCAGTCCAACCCCTTGCCATGCAAGAAGGCACAATTAAAGCACTCCTGATAGACAGCCTCTGCAGAAAAGCCTCCAGAGAAGGAGACTCCACCACATTCCCAGGCAGCTCATGCCACTCTCTGACAGCTCTTACTCTCAGGAAGTTCTTCCTAATCTTTTCAGTTGAATCTCTTTCCCTGCCATTTGAAACCATTGCTCCCTTCTATCCTGGTGTCGAGAACAGCAGAAAGTCACCCCCCCCACCCCGCGCACCCCATTGGATACCCTATCTTCAAACATGGTTCTCATATTCCCTCTTTACCATCTCTTCTCCTAGCTAAATATTCCCCAGGAGGAAAGGAGGAAGGAAAAAGAGAAGGATGAGAAGGGTGGGAGGGAATGGAGGGAGAAAAGAGAGAAAAGAGAGAAGGAAGGAAAGACAAAGAAGGAAGGAAGGAAGGAAGGAAGGAAGGAAGGAGAAGGAAGGAAGGAAGGAAGGAAGGAAGGAAGGAAGGAGGGAAGGATGGAAAGGAATGGAAAGGAATGGAGGGAGGGAGAAAAGAGAAAAGGAAGGAAAGATAAAAGGAAGGAAGGAAGGAAGGAAGGAAGGAGAAAGAGAGAGAGGGATGAGGGAGGACAGAGGGAAGGAAGGAAGAATGAAAGGGTGGAAAGGAAGGAGGGAGGGAGGGTGAAAGAGGGAGGTAAGGAAGGGAGGAAGGAAAGAGAGAAGGAAAGAAGGATAGAATGTTGAGAGGAGAGTCTGAGAAAAAAGCCTAAGGGGCCAGAACTGGCTCCCAGGCCTGGGTTTGCCCATACCTGTGTTACATCCATATCCTCCACACAAGTATTATTATACACATCATCTAAAATTTCCAAATGTATTACAAAGCAAATAAATTATTTTTGCCATCCAATGTCAAAACTTGTTGTAATCCCATCACCATGTGGCCTGGGGATAATGGGAATTGCAACCCAACAGGGCCTGAGGCACCATATCCACAAGCCTTGTGTCTAAATCCAAACCCCACTATCCCAACTAAACAGAACAAACTACGGCCTTCTAGATGTTGCTGTATAACTCCTATGCTATTTAGTTATCATGTCTACTGATGAGGAATACAGGAGTTGTAATCCAGCATCTGAACGGCCACGTAAAATGACATGTTGGGCTGAATTTGGACCGCAGCCTTGAGTTTGACATGTGTCATAAGCCAATTTCCAAAAGCCTTTGAGTAATGAAAATGTAAGTGTACTTATTGCACACACACACTTCAATACCATTAGCTGATGAAATGCAAAGCTTTGAATGTGCAACTTTGTTTTTTAATTGCACAGGAGGCGGGAACTAAGGCAAGCAGAATTAGTTTAACAGAAGAACAAGCTGCTGTCAAAATCCAGGCGACTTACAGAGGCTTCAAAACTCGGAAAGATGCGAAAATCCCAAAAGAAGATTTGAAAGAAGGAGTGGTAGAAGAACAGGAAGAAGGAAAAGAAGAAGGAAAAGAAGAAGCAAAGGAGGAAGGAATGGAAACTGGGCAAGAAGCTGGAAAGGAAACTGGGGAGGAGAAAGAGGCCAGCGAACCTGATAATAAAGTGCAATAGTAATCAGATACAGCAATCCTGCCACCAGTCAAGTTTTAGAATTGGTTGAAGGCAAAAGCCTCATTGGTCTGCTTTAGAAGTGTGTGCTAAGTTTATGATATAAACCACAGACTTAAAGAATGCGTCATATCATTCTTGGTGTTCACCGGCAGATCAATAAACTGAATTGGATTAACATACAATTTTGGGTGGCTAACTATATTGGAATTCATACATTTCCATCATTTTAAGTACAGTAGAGTCTCACTTATCCAACATTCACTCATCCGACTTTCTGTATAATCCAACTCAGTCTGCCTCCCACCCGGATTCACAACTGTTTATTTATTTCAAATATTTATACCCTTCTCAGGGTGGCTTCCATAATAAAACCAGTAATTGCATATAATTAAAGCATTAAATCTATTCAATTAAAATATGCTTAAATATAACAGCCATATGGCCTTATCTAGCTCAGATTCTGAGATCGGAGACTCCGTCAAGCTTGTCCATAGTCCATTGCCATAGTAATTTGTCCTCATTGTCATTATCCTTATCTTCATAGTCAGCCGAAGCCTGGTCCCACATCCAAGTTTTCAGCTTTTTTCTGAAGGAAAGGAGGGATGAAGATGACCTAACTTCTCTGGGGAGCGAATTCCACAGGCGGGGGGCCACCACTGAGAAGGTCCTGCCCCTCAACCCTGCCAGGCATGTTTGCGACAGAGGCGGGGCCGAGAGCAGGGCCTCCCCAGAAGATCTTAGATTTCGAGGTGGAACGTAGAGGGAGATACATTCGGACAGGTACACCATGTTACTGTGTATTGAATTGCTTTTTCTTTCAATTTGTTGTAAAACATGTTTTGGTGCTTAATTTGTGAAATCATAATGTAATTTGACATTAAATAGGCTTTTCCTTAATCTCTCCTCATTATCTGAACATTTTCACTTATACAACGTTCCACCGGCCCATTTATGTTGGATAAGCGAGACTCTACTGCAGGGGTCCCCAAACTACGGCCCGTGGGCCAGACCCCCATCCCCCCCGAGGGCATTTATCCAGCCCGCGGGGTGTGGAGAAGCGGCAGGCAACGCGGCCCCAAAGCCACGTCGCCTGCCGCCTCCCCCGCCTTCTCCCGGCCTCAGGAATTCTGCTGCTATCTTCTGGGATATTGGCTATCCCTCCCAATTTGGTGTTGTCTGCAAACTTGATAATCCTGCTTTCTAACTCTTCATCAAAGTCATTAATAAAGATGTTGAACAGAACCGGGCCCAGGAGGGAAACCACCTGATGACACTCCACTCGTCACTTCTTTCCAGGATGAACAGGAAGCATTGGTGAGCATCCTCTGGGTGTGGTCACTTAGCCAATTACAGATCCACCTAACCGTTGTTTTTCCTAGCCTACATTTGACTAGTTTGTTTGCTAGAAGGTTGTGAGAGTGCTTGTCGAAGGCCTTATGAAGTTCAGATTTGCATAAGAGTTTCCAAAATTTCACAGCCAGCATGAACAAATGGTCCAACGCCCTCTTTCTTGGTTTTTGTGCAAAGGAGGGAGCATGGAAATTAGGCAGGGAAGACCCCCATGTCATTTATCAAACAACAAACCCCCTTGCTTTGTGCCCTCTCATCTTCCTCCCAAGGTACTGAGCAGCTTCAGGAATAGAGAAGCATTTTCCTCTGAAGGTTTTGGATTCCTGGAAAAGGTCGGTCAGGAGTTGCAGTTGATGATGGGTTGAACCACAGCCAAAGTTGGATAGGATCCACAGTGAAGCCGATAAGAACTTTAGGAGGGTCTTCCCAAGGAGGAGGGACCCTGGGACCCCACCAAAGAGGGATCGCTACTTTGGCGAGCTAGAGAAACCTGATTTCAGCAATTTTATTAAATTAAACATTCAAAATAAACCTCACCAAAGTTGAAGAAGCGGCACCGACATATTTTTATTAGCGATTCAGCTGAAAAGGATGCAATGTAGCAATCATTCGCTTACAGAGCATGTGGTTACAGAGATTAGAGGCATTTATATAGGAATTTACAGGTTTGAAAGTTTCAAAACTCCTGCTTCCCGCCCCTCGCCCAGCTCACTGGTGATTGGCTTGGTGGATAACAGCTGGGAGGAGGCTCGGCCATCCCCCCCTCGCCAGGACCAATCACAGGGCTCCTCCACTGTGCGGGAGCCTATCAGGAAGCTCCCACCGCTCTGGCGCTTCAGTGAATCAGGAAGAGGGAGGCGGGACAGAAAAGAAACAAAGCGTCTATGATAGGATTATGGAATTCCAATGTCCTGAGTTTCCTGCGTCCGGGAAATCGGCCAGCTAGAGAAACCAACTTCTATTGTTATGTGATGGGTGAGAGATTGGTGTTGATTACTTGAGCCGGTTTTCCTGCTATGATCAGATAAGGCACAAAGGTGAGGCTTGGGGTGGATGTTTGCTATGAAGAGTTTTGAAAGAAGTAAACAAAGTTGTGAAAGGCGACCTCCCGAGAGTCGTCTCGCTCCCATTGTGAAATGATAAAAAAGTTTGCCAAAGGAAATTCCAGTTTGATGGTCCCAACTCTGAAATCAAATAGGAATTTCAAGTTCTATTGTCCATGCAAGAGTTCCAAGATATGGGGTTTTTGTGATCGCTGATTGCCCTTTTCAGCACCAAAGGGCAACTTCCTCGTTGGCTCCCCCTTCTCGAAGAGGGGAAGGGGGAAGGGGTTTGTGAGGGAAAACACATGGGGAAATATAGAAATCACAAGAAATTCATGTCAAGCCTCCTTTCCCTCCCCCCACCCGCCAGAGAAATTGATTAAAATAATTTTATTAAAGCATGTGTCCATAGTTCATATTGGGGAAGTTCAGATGTGAAAAGGAGTTCATTAGAGCCAAAAAGAAATTGAAGAAAGTCCAACAGTCACAAAAAGGTGCTTGATTATTTCCACTGAGCCAAGGAATGGATTCCTGCAGCGCCAAGATCAAGCTGGTCCTTAGTCCTTGGGAAACTATAACTTCCTCCAAGGACTGGGACCCCAAGGTTAGGCTCTTCCCTAAAAGCCTCATGGGGTCCTTGTTGTTGCTAGTGTCTTGGCAAATTGACCAAAACTTAACCCCTTTGTGCAGTCTGGTACCCTTGCCCTTTGAAGAACTATAAGTTACCATCCCTTATTGGGGGGACGGGGACATGCTCGACTTCAACAGGATTGCATCGTTTTCCCTCTGCAACAACACAGTTCCCCTCAGTTTTTCTTCTTGTCATCACATCTCCCTCCTACAGTGTAGGTTTTGATTTCATGCTTTCAGAATGCTTTACTTTTGCCGTGTAATTGTGTAAACCTTACACCCACTGATTATATTGTTGTGTATATAATTTTGTTGTCGTTGGTTTTATGTATCTCGTTCTGTACCAAAGCCCTTTCATGCTTTTGTGTGAGGAATATCCTTCTAGATAAAACTGATATTAGCTGTTGATAAAACTGCAACCAGCAGATGGTGCTTGTCATTGAGTTTAGTCTCCGCAAGCAGGAAGAAAGCACTTCGTTACCTCCAATATGGTATCCTGCCTTTCTCTAAGCTCCACATGGAACCTGAACAGATTGTGTAAGTTTAATTATAATAGCAATGCATCTGGTTGCATTAATGGTCTCAAACACCATTCGGAAGCATTCAGACTTGTTATTAATCCCCAAAAGTAGCATACAAAAGCTACAATTTTCTAGACCAAATTGTTTCTGGTGTTGTGTTACAATTCTTCAAGGGGAGAATAGAACTAGGCTTTAATCATGGGACGCACTCTGCAGAAAAGGAGAATTAGGGCAATTTACAGATAGGGCAATCCACAGATGTACAGATTTGCACGGAGTCTTGGCATCCGTTGGGGGCATTTCGGGAGGAAATTATCTCAGTGGATCTCATCACACTGGAGAATGAATCCACTTAAAATCAGAAAAGGAGACAATCCACCCAAGACAATATGTATGCTGCATACAAAAGAGTCACCTTTGGGTTGAGAGAGGCGGTATATAAATATGGTAAATAAATAAATAAATATTGGTGAATTGTCTCCTTTTCATAGAATCATAGAATCAAAGAGTTGGAAGAGACCTCATGGGCCATCCAGTCCAACCCCCTGCCAAGAAGCAGGAATGTTGCATTCAAATCACCCCTGACAGATGGCCATCCAGCCTCTGTTTAAAAGCTTCCAAAGAAGGAGCCCCCACCACACTCCGGGGCAGAGAGTTCCACTGCTGAACGGCTCTCACAATCAGGAAGTTCTTCCTCATGTTCAGATGGAATCTCCTCTCTTGTAGTTTGAAGCCATTGTTCCGCGTCCTAGTCTCCAGGGAAGCAGAAAACAAGCTTGCTCCCTCCTCCTTGTGGCTTCCTCTCACATATTTATACATGGCTATCATATCTCCTCTCAGCCTTCTCTTCTTCAGGCTAAACATGCCCAGCTCCTTAAACCGCTCCTCATAGGGCTTGTTCTCCAGACCCTTGATCATTTTAGTCGCCCTCCTATGGACACATTCCAGCTTGTCAATATCTCTCTTGAATTGTGGTGCCCAGAATTGGACACAATATTTTATAAGATAATTTCCTCCCGAAATGCCTCCAAAGGTTGCCAAGACTCCATGCAGATCTGCAGATCTGTGAATTGCCCTATACATCAGTATTTCTCAGCCTGGGAGTCAGTACCCCTGGTGGGGTCGCATGGGGGTGTCAAAGGAGTCACCAAAAACATCAGGAAACAAAGCATTCATGGAGGTTCTGTGTGGGAAGTTTGGCCCAATTCTCTCATTGGTGGTGTTCAGAATGTTCTTTGATTGTAGGTGAACTATAAATCCCAGCAACTACAATTCCCAAATGTCAAGGTCTATTTTCCCCAAACTCAACCAGTGTTCACATTTGGGCATATTGAGTGTTTATGCCAAGTTTGGTCCAGATCCATCATTGTTTGAATCCACAGTGTTCTCTGGATGTAGGTGAACTACAACTCCATAACTCAAGGTCAGCGTCCACCAAAACCTTCCAGTATTTTCTGTTGGTCATGAGAGTTCTGTTTGCCAAGTTTGGTACAATTTGATTGTTGGTGGATTTCAGAATGTTCTTTGATTTTGAGTTAACTATAAATCCCAGGGACTACAACTCCCAAATGACAAAATCAATCCTCCCTCAACCCCACCAGTATTCAAATTTGGGCATATCGAGTATTTATGCCAATT